AGGTCTCACCTGAAACAGTGATATTAAAATCACAATTGTCTGAATTCCCAAAGGAATCCGTGGCATAACATGTCACGTGAGAGACACCAAGCGGGAATTCCATTCCAGTATCAGGGAAGCATAAGGAGGTGATGTTCTCTCGCGAGTTATCCAGGACACTTGGTGGAAGAAAATCAACAATTGCAGATAATGATGGTGGTGCTACTTCAACGGACAACGAAGGTGGACACGTGATCACTGGAGCCTCATGGTCTAAAGAAATTTATGTAAGAAACAAAACAATTAATTATACAGATGCATTGGCGAAGATTACATAAATTTACCAAATTATCAGTCAGTTGTTTCCGGCACTTAGTTGGAATGTATTCGATTTATTTAGTGTTACGTACACCATAACCCACGAAATTATTTCCAGTGGTTAGCTCTACACCGGGTTCTACACTGCCCGATTCACAACCAGACGTTCCCCACTGGTTTTGATTTGGACATGGAAAGTGTGCTGTGTTTTTTACGTGCACATGAGCAATATTGCACACAGAATTAACGGCTTAAACATCTCATCCGAAAGACGATGTGCTACTGAAACTTGCATTTTAATCTTCAAGTTGAACCACAAGGAATTTAATCGGGGAACAAGGGTTTTTTTTTTTTAAATATGCCTACCGTTCTTCAACTCGTACACAGGCTACCACCAGATTTTTACTGAGCTAAGCTGCTCTATCTGTGATTACTTAGTTTGCAGAGTAAAAGAAACGCCAATACAATAAACTTCAAAAATGTGTGTCTTACCAATATCACGCATTCAATTAGTAACTGAAAACATGTAGACATGTCCATAGTTATGGAAATCATGTGTAGAAATCCTCAAATTATTTAATTTAAAAAAATCATTAATAATCTCCCTTAGAAGAAATAATAAAATATATAAAGAAAAATACAAAATTTTATTATAAGAATTGTTTACCCTCAATTGAAACCATAAAGTAACAGGTTCCGCGGTTGTTCGCAGAATCAAGTGCTGAGCACATGATGGTGTGTGAACCTATGCCAAATAGACTGTGAGACATCGGTGTACAAATTGCATACAAGCTCTCTCCGGAGTTGTCAGTTACAGCTGCAGGATCGTACAAAAACATTGCAGTATTCTTGCCAGCGTCGGTAGGTCTAACCACCGAGTCAGGACACGACAGCACAGGAGCCTCAACATCTGAATTTAAATTAAACCATTTATTTTAATTGACTAGTTATTAGGCCAATTATTATTTCACCGCTTTGGAAAATATCAAATATAAAATAAATAATTAAAGCATTTGTATAAAATCTATAAATCGAGTAAACAATGAATCAATTAATGGCAATTATATAACATCAGGTCTTCACATAACATTACATGTTAATTGGCGCTCAGTATATGCTCTTGAGAAATGATAACCAAAAAAAGTACACAGTATTATTTACTTACCTATAACGTTGACATCAAAATTGCAAAGTCCAAGATTATGAGAAGCGTCCCATGCAGAACACGTGACTGTAGTGTTGCCTAAAGCGAAGGTGCTGCCGGATTCTGGGAAGCATATAGTTGTAAGGGTTTCCCCAGAGTTATCTGTCGCTACAATGGCATTAAATGTCACCGGTGCATAAGATTTGCCAAAATCGGCTGACGTCAATATTTTATCTGGGCACGTGACATGTGGAGGCTCTTCATCTAAAATGATGATGATAAAAATAATAATAATAATACAAATGACAATGATGATGATGATACTGGTAATAACCAAGTAAAGCTACGCTCACACCCGGATCCAGGCTTGATGTGAACGTAGCTTTATTCTTGATTTATACCGCGCTTGGCGTTGAAACTACCTCCAGGCCCAAGAGTTTTCACAGACAGAAGGAAGTGGAGGAAGAAAATATGTTATGTATTACGTGGCACAAAGAAGACAGGTAAAGTACAGTAAATGTCACGCAATAGTTACCTGTGATTGTAATATTAAATCCACATTCACCAGTATTGGCACTTAAGTCGGTGGCAGAACAGATGACATGCGTGGTACCAATAGGAAATACGCTTGACGATGATGGTTGGCAAGTTGCAATTAGGCCTAGGTCAGTGTTGTCCTGAACATCGGTTACGTTGAAACTGACGGTAGCTGTTGCTGTACCAGGGATTGCAGGTATCCACTGACTAGGTGGACATGTCAAAACAGGGGGCTGGACATCTGTAGAGGTGAAGGTGACATTTGTTAGATATTTTCACTTACAAAGCATATACTGTATATTATTGTGGGTGCTTGGCCTATGTCCTTTCGAAAGCATCACCAAAAGCAACACCATGTGTTACTTTACTAATAAATAAAAGCTGTGTTCTTTTCACCGAAAATGTTTACTGTACGTATCTATATATATATATATATGTTTATATACATTTGCATATATAAAATGTTAACATGTAGTTTATATATATATATATATATATATATATATATATATATATGTATATGCCCCTATATGTATATATATATATTATTAACTACAAGGAGGTGCAAAGTTGGTCTTGTAAATGAAAACAGTTTGAAAAACTCTTTTGCATAGCAACATTGAGAAAATAGTAGTCATATTATTTAATTTTTAAAAATCTATTAAATAGACAAGTGACTAAAATGTAAAACAATAATGTCTGAGGTAGCATTTGTCCGCATGTGCAAAATATAGACTCACCATTTGGCTGTTCCGTTGATAGTATTGGAGCAGCTTAGAAAAAAAACACCAAATATTTAAAATACATTTAACTTGAGGAAGTAAACAAGGAAAAAGTGGCACAAGAGAAACGAGGGGAATTTTTATATTGGTCATAAATATATAGTATGGTTACAATTACAAATCTACATAGATTGATATATAATGATGATGATGAACCCGTGTCCTTTATTGATGCGTAAAAATAGATTTTTCAATACCATACCTTCAATGGTTACTTGGAAGTTACACAAATCTTGATTGCCAGAAGCATCACTTGCACTACATTGAACCAAAGCAGTGCCAATATCGAAGGAGCTTCCAGATGCTGGAGAACACACTGCCAATATATGATCTCCAGAATTGTCTGACACTACGGCATTATCAAAAGTAACGACAGCAGACAATGCACCCGGGTTTGCTGTAACTGTCATCTGTGGTGGGCAACTCAGTTCTGGTGCCTCATCATCTGCAAGAAGCATATGCATAAATTTACTTATTGTTGTAATTGTATAACACGCACTTTTTTCAATACTTACTGCTAAATCAAAATTCTTCCTAACCCTAGTATTACAGTAACGAAAAACATGGATCTTTATCATGATCATTATATCTTTAAATTGTTCTTGATAACAATAATATTACATCTTACCTGTGACAGTGATATCAAATGAACATGTCCCGGCATTCCCTGACCCATCTACAGCAGAGCACATGACTTGGGTTGTACCAACCCCGAACAAAGTGTCAGAAGCCGGCGTGCAGACTACAGGCAAAGACACTCCATTGCTATCTGTTGCGTTCGCATCTTCATACTTTACGAAAGCATCATAATGGCTACTGTCTGCTGATGTAGTCTGAGCAGGAGGGCAAACGATCTGCGGTGCGGTGACACCTGAAATGTTTAATTATTTTTTATATTAAAAATACACATACAGTAGAAATAAAAAGTGTATTTAATTTTATTTAAATACATTTCTCCCTCCAATTAAAAACCACTTCTGGGACCGGGGTTTCCATGGTCGTTAGCAGCTTTAGTCTCTAATTAGAATACTAAACATAAAAGACATTTGTTAATTTGAAATGACAGAAAAGTGATATTTTTGGAGTGGTTTTTTAATGGAAGGGGTCTTTAATTTAAAGGTAGACCTGAATTTTATACATTGAAATACTACATATACACATACAGCGAGCATGAATAATATAAATATTTAAGTATTTATATTTAAATATTTTATACAATACTAAGTATTTAGTCTAATTATACACATATAATACTATGATAAAATAGATTTTAAGCCTGCATTATTCCTGCTATACCTCAGTATCCTAAATTATGCGTTTTGATGCAGCACACAGCCAGTAGATGCGAGCCACTGACTAGTAAATACGCGCCACCGACCAGTAAAACGCTTAACCTAAACTCTTAAAACTTTGTATTTATATTTTCAACAAAATTAATGGACTACAAATCTTTACTTTGTACTGATACGCCAAATGTACACGATCCAGTGTTATTAGCGGCGTCAGAAGCGGAGCAGACAACTTGAGTTGTACCAATGGCAAACGCACTGCCTGAATGAGGGGTACATATCACGGTCAACTCCTCTCCAGAATTGTCGGTGACGTTAGCGGATTCATAGTTAACGATGGATGTAGTATACAAGCGGTGTGACGGACACGTCAGTTCTGGAGATGTACTATCTAATAAAAAGAAAAATTAAAATGATGTTAGCAATAAAATATTGTTGCGGTGTCCATAACAGTAGGCCTGACTATTAATATCATCATCATCATCATCATTATCATCATCATCATCATCATCATCATCATCATCATCATCATCATCATCATCATCATCACCATCATAATCATCATCATCCTCTCATCAACATCATCTTTATCTTCATCATCATCATTATCTTCTTCATCATCACTTAATCATCATTATTTACCACCATGGAGTGGAGTTGTGGCTTGAGTGTTTTGTGTCCAAAATCCTGTCAATGTTGCAGGATATTTCTCCGTAATATGCACTGCGCATGTCTGATTATAAAATAATATATATTTCAACTTTATAATAACTTACCAATGAATCTGTATGATGCGTGAAAACCAGTTTCCGAAAACCAGTCATCAGAGTGGAAACGCATGTAGATGGTATTATTGATCGAATTGATCACCGTTTGGGACAGAGACGTTCCACAAAAACTTTAAATATACAATAGCAAGTCAGTTAAAAATAATTAGGTTATAATAATAATAATAATAATAATAATAATAATAATAATAATAATAATAATAATAATAATAATAACTTGTGCCATATTTTGTGATTTATAATAGTGATGGCTAACTAAAATAAGTTAGTCTACTTTAGACTTTTGGCTCATATTATTATTATAACCATAGAACAGTTAATCGAAATGCATAAAAAAAAAAATCTGGGTAGGGGTAATGCGACTTGCGAAGCACAAATTGGGAGAGGGGGATGATGCTTTAGATTTTTGTTTAGAAATGCTTGATCATAGACACTGGTACATGGAATCGAAAATAACTTGTTTTTAAGTACCGTCCTCCCCTCTTTTCTATTTCTCTCCATTTTTTAGCCTTTCCCCACCCCATTCCCCCTGGATCCGCTCCTGGTTCAAGTGATACTTACTCAGCGCTGGAAGTATCATACATTGGTGAGTCGTGCTGAATATACAACTGATCCCAGTAACAATACGCGTCTTCTTCAACAGAAAAATCTTGAAATGTCAATTCAATACGATAGCCTTCGGGAGCCTAAAGAAGAAAAAGCTCAATATATTGAGATCAATATGATACGCCCTCTTCTTAGAAGCATTTTACGACAAGACGAGATCTTCAAAAAGATACCTTTTTATAAATAAATATTGATACATCCTTGATACATGACAACATTCTCATGTATCAAGGACGAGTGCTGTCCAACTATGCATGTTCATAAGTGTGAAAATGAGATGCTTTAATCGGATTTGAATTCCCCGCAAATGGACAAGTTGGTTAGGGCGTTTGCATGGACAGCAGAAGGTCTGGGTTCAAATCCTATGGGGGCCACCGATTTCAAACACCAGCAGATTCCTCTTCTTTAACGATATATATATATATATATATATATATATATATATATATATATATACATTAAACGTTGATATGGTTTACTAAATAATGTAATTTTGACACTAAAACATGACTACAATGAAAAAAAGTAAGTACATTACAATACCGTTATGAAGTAGTTGCAATCGGAATTATCTGGATACGTGGACGGATAATTTGGTGAAAATACTTCGCCATTATCTTCGGTAAAGTGACCACCACAACCTGTTTTTAAATGTATTAACAGAATTAAGAAATAAACATATATAAATATATAATAATTATTTTGTTTGTATTAATGGTTTTTATAGCGTCAGCAGCAGTTGATTTAAGGGAAGGGAACGTTGCGCACAGCTGCCTAAAGATCTCTAAGTGTGAAATCATTTTGAAACTGTGGAGGTTTGAAATAGCTACGAACCCTACAAAAGATAAGGCAAAACTTCCCCTTTGGACAACGTGTCCTCGACTGGCACTATCAACCCCACAAATCCGTAAAAATACAATCCGCTACTGGATCAGTTCCGCAATGTAGATCAGGTGACTGCAGTGTGTGAGGTATGCTTTCGTGCTCTCAAATTACAAGTGTGCTGTGTGCCTACATAACCAGGGGCGGGTTCAGAGTTATCCAAAACAGGGGTGGCGCCAGCGGGGGGCCTGGGGGCCAGGGCCCCGTCGGGTAGAGTTGCGCCCACCGTAGGGAGAAAAACGACAATTCGTGGGGGAGAAAAAAAAAGGTATATGTATTTTCTACATATTAGTAGACTCTAAAATCAATTAAATAAGCCTTTGAAACCCCAAATTATCAAAATTATCGGGGCTTCGCCCCCTGCAACCACTTTTAATACCTTTTAATCGAAGCTTGAACACGCCCACTTTGCTTTCGTCGGGAAAATCTGGCCCCTCTTCGGGGGCATCGGCCCCCCGTCGGGGACCGTCCCCCCGCCTGGTGCCACCTTTTAAAAAAGGGTTGG